ACTAAAGAAGCCAGGATTAAGAAGCTGGTGCCAATTTTACCAAAGATTAAATTAATCTTTTGATGAATTTACCAAGATCTGTCACACCTTCTCCATTAATTGCTATTTTTTGGAAGAAATTTTATGCTTTTCAAGACCACATGCTCTAATCAAACAAGAATGATTTAGGAAGGCCAGGTGAGATGCTAATTACATTTTTTTCTGGATGAAATCCGTGAATGTTCAAATATCCTCTCCTTCTCTGGAGATACTCAAAACCCACCTGGCTGCAGTCCTATGCAGCCTGCTCTAGGTGAACCTTCTTTGGCAGGAGGGTTGAACTAGATGATCTCTTGAGGTCCCTTCCAACCCCGACCATTCAGTGATTCTGTGAATTCTCCTGTATCATGACCAAAATTAATTTAGTATGAAAATGTTTCCATAAAATCTCTAAACTTCACAGGTTTTTTAGAGATACCTGTGATGTTTTCCATTGTTCAGACTGAAATATTAAGGGAGATCAGAAGTATCAAGAGCCACAGTGTACGACATACCTGAACAGCAGGAGTGCCCATGAACCACCTTCCTGTGGGTTCTCTTGGGTGAAGGACCACTTTTGAGCTTCAGCGTTTCTCTGAGATGAGCAGAAAGTCCAGTCTTATACAAAGTCTTATATAAAGGGTTATTGCATTTTTTTATAAATAATACCACAACATCATCTGTTGACTACAGCTGAAGTAATTCATTGCATGAAGTCATTGACATAAAATGTGCAAAAGTTTGGGCAGCACCCCTGGGTGTAGGCACTAGTTTATATTCTCTGGATGAATTCCCAGTCAAGTGCTGTGGGCATGCTAAGCTGAATGCCACCTTGACATTTATCTTAGATTCAAGGCTAATTTATTTTTTAGGGGACTGTTGATTTAAAAAGCAGTGTTCAAAAAAAATATTTTTGTATCTTAGGACTTTTCTGGGTGAATGGACTTTTGGTGAATTATTTTTTCAGTTCAGTGAAAAAGCAGTTTAATTAGAGAACCACCACTATCAGTGCTTTGCTTTCCAAGGACTGGCAACACATCCTCAAAGGCACGTTTTAGCTCTGAGAATTCACATTCATGTTACGGGGAAGTGTATGTAGATTCTGACGGGCAGAGCCAAATTTAGCCTTTGATAAATTTTGCCACTCTCTTTCTTTTTTGAGTATTTCAATGATTTAGTGGTAAATAGGAAGTCAGGGGACAGTTCCAACACAATCACTTTATCTGTTCTCTGTCTAAACATTTACTAACTTCCCGAGCAGGAAAGTTTCTCATCTTGCCTGAGGTGCAGTTTAGCATTAGTTAAAATATATGACAGTGATGACCCATCCACCTTCATTTAGAGCTTGCTGAAGTGACTTCTTGCTCCCACTATGGAGATGTCAGAACGCTGTTGCACACAGTGTTGTTGTAAAGACCCAAAGCTCAGTAGTTTCACGAGGTTTGAATAAAACACCAAAGAAGTGTTTCATGCCTACCTGCCTATACCTTTTTTTAACTGCAGTGCATCACTGGCAATGCTGAATGTCTGCTTTGAAATCCCTTCTTACCCATCCTTCAGAATAGTTTTGTCCAAAAGTAATACAGGGTTACGAAATTTGTTAAGGAACTTTGATAAAACGCAATTTAGAAGACTATCAACCTGGTGAATTGTCCACGTTATGCCACACTTTGATCTTTGCTTGGTAGGAAAGAATGTTAATTCAGGTCTTCGTGAGGTGTTCGGCAGGTTATTATAGCTCTGAACGTGTGCTACTCTTCCACATTGAAATATGCTTTCTTTTCAGTATTGAATATCAAGAAATATTTAAATGCACTTATGATTTTTATTTTCTCCTTTAGATCAATTTTTATTTATTTTTCTGTTATTTTTTTTAATTCTAATCCTAAAAAACTGTTAAGGATCAGACTTATTTCTTCTTGATGCTTGCATGTGATTTTTTTTTTCTTATGCATAGTGACCTGAGAGGGAGCCGAGAGACACTACATGAATGTTGACCCCTAAGTGTTAACCTTTTGACTCCAAGCTGCTTCACAAAGGGTATTTTTATAACCAAGGTAGATTTTTTTTTCTTGGAGGATTTTCCCCAGAGTCTCTTTCTAATCCTCCCCTTCCAAGCCACCAGCACAGCAACATACCTAGTTCCAGGCAGAATTGTGGGTAGTGATGGGTCTGATGCCCTGCAAGACCGTTTCTGTGCCATCAGGAGAGGATTCTTCTGGAGGAACAGCCATGCGCTCCAGCACCCGCACAGTTCTCCGCCTCTGCGGTGCTTCCCACCGACTCGAACACAGAGGCCAGCCTGTCTTAGCAAGTCAGAAAAAACACCTTGTCACACTGTTTACAAGATAGGTTGCAGGCCTGCAGATCCCCGGCTGGGTTTTTCATCCCTTGCATGTTCTGGTGGCTATACACAGAGGTCTGGAAATGCTAATGTGTCATTAACTGCTTTTATTTAGGAAAAAGGGGGGGGAATCCCTAAAACAATTAGTTTTGTTCCAGAAACACTACATCTGAGAATTCCTGGAATAAAAGTTCATGAATTTGAGTGGATGTCACTCACCGTGCATAGCAAACTGTATAAAACCCATGTCCTGTTCTGGCCGGTCACGCTGTCTGATCGTGTTGCCTCTTGGGAGAGGTCCGCCTTGACTTACTGTGCGAGGGCTTGGTGCAGGTGTCTGCTGGGCTGTTATTTCCAGAGCCCTCAGCTGCTCTTCTGTGCCCAACGACAGGGGAAAACACAAGGAACTTGTTGTCCCACCAGTGATCTTGTACAGAAGACCATATTACCACACAGATAAACAAGATGCCTGAATTTGCTGTGCGGCATGAAGTGCCTCCTATTTTTGTTTTCGCACTGCAGAGAACCCATGGCGATGGCTTTGTACTATTTCAGACGGATCCCATGCCACTCTCCAGGTTAGAGGACGTGCCTTGTGGGAAGGGATGCATCCTGCAGTCCTGAGCTGTCAGAATGAGGTGTGCAACCTCGAGCAGCAAGGGGCTGTGCTGAGGCTGCTCTGAAGTGTGCTGAGATCTGCGCTGATCCTGGAAAATCAATGACCCTGGACCCTAATCCTTCACCAGGACCATCTGGGTCACAGGCAATCTGCTTCCTGAAGTTTCGGTGTCTATTCCTTTTAAGTTAAGGAATACATAAATGAACATAAAAACACTAATAAATGAAAGGCAAATTATATTTTCCTAGCAAATGGAGCATGTTGCTCATGTGTACTGAAGATTCAATAAGCATGATTAAGTGTAGACAACCACTGAGTGGAGAAAAGTTCGTCCTCAGGCAGAGAAGGCTTCACAGCCTCCCCTCCTTTCTCATCTGTGTTTTGAAAACTGTGCCAGCTCAGAATAGGAACTGCTGCAAAGCTCCCTTTTATTTTTTCCATCGAGATACAACAGTGATCTTCAAGGGGATGTAGCGTTTTCCTGAGAAACACGTAATCTGAGGATGACACTGCCTCTGGGTGTAGCCCAGTAAACCGCTCGAGGCTGTTTGGTTGCTAAGACATCTCCCATAAATATCCCTCAACCGTCTGGTGGCTGAAACAGCGGGGGAGCAAACCTGGTGGGAAAGGGGTCTTTTTTGGGTAGCGGTTGGTGGGTCCGCTCAGGGCCAGCGTCTGCACTGGGCAGTTCTGGAACAAACTATTCCCTGTATTTACTTCTCTGCCTTGATTATTGTATTTCGTCTATTCAGTGAGATGGCAGAAAGAGGCTGACGTGGTGCCAGCTGTGATATATATTCTGTCTTCTGAACTTCCTCAGAAAATGGAAGGGCTTAAAGATTTGCACGTATATTTATCTTATACAAATATTCTGCGAAGATACTGGCAAATGCCTTGGATGTGCAGATTGCTGTGACTCCACGGGGCATCACACTGCTGTGTTCCGTGCCCCGGGGACTCTGCGTGGCCCTGGTGGTCATAGGCAACGCTCCGGTCGTCCCTGTGTTCAGAGACCAGAACGTAAACCCATTTCTTTCGTATGCTTGAACTGAGAAGCTCAAGTTACAGCTCTCCATGTCACCTGTACCCATCAGGGCGGCAGCTCGTGCACCGCAGGGATGTTCCTTCCCCTCCTCGGTATGTGTCCTGCTGTACGGAGGTGGACCCTGCCCCGTCTCCCCACTTTTTCTTTCATTGTCCTGGTGTAAATCTGAATAATGTAGCTGCGCAGGCGGCAGCCCTCTCTTCCCTCCTCTCATCGAGAAACATGGTTAGGCACGGTCTTCTTCATCAAGCATTGGTTCTGATTGCCTATTTACTGGCTTCCCACCTTGTATGAGCACCATCCCTTCCCATTCAGAAACCATTTTTACAAGGAAGGTTTTAAAATTACCTGTTCCTGAGACTCACCAACTGCAAAGATCAGTAATTTTTTTCCTGTATCTGGGGAAATGCTGATTGGAATTATCACAGGTATCTTCCTATTTTATCAGGAATGAGTAATATAATTTTCCTCCTCCCAATGCTTGGCATAATTATTCACAGCCCTGCAAAACAGGTATAAATTGAGTCAGAAATGGTCCTGCCAGGCCAGGTTCCCAACATGCATCAGCTGAGGATGTGGGCGGTGTGCGCAGGTGCAATCACCTGTATATGAGGAAAATAGGTTGCTTGATACAGCGGGAATCTTCGTTGGTTCTTGATCTGAGTAAAGGGTGTGCACAGCTGTATGTGACAACGGCAGAAGTTATGTGCATTTAAAATAAATGAACTCTGCAATGAAGCTGGTTGCTATGGGTCTTCTCCACCCTTCCCTTTCTGTAAGGCAGCTTCAGGAACTAATTCTGCTCTGGATAAAGCTGTTAAATGTCTTTTCATTGACCTATGGAGATTAGGATCTGGCCTTAAGTCATCAAACATTTAATCAGAAATATCGTATCATGACTACATTCAACGCGACATTTAAAATTTCAGTAAACACAGATACTTCTAATATTAACTTTATTTTCCCACTTCTAGATAACCTCTTCAAACCAAAGGAAAGATTCATCCCAGAGAAGGAGATGCATATGAGATCGAAAAGGTACAAACCGCTGCGGTTTAGAGTTCGCTACGAATCACTGCCATCTCACACCTAAGGCAGCGTAACTCCATGTCATCTTCACACGCCGGAGGGTCGGTCTGTCATGCTGCTTGCCACTCTTGTGTGCAACGCTCATGTTCTTCTTCCGCTGTATGGGTTTGATACATTTGGGTCAGCCCTGCCCTTTCAGCATCCTTTTTGCAGCGGTTTCAGATGGCGTGGGGTAACCATGCTGTGAAAACTAAGTCCTTGAGAGGTACCTCACGCTGGACCTTCACAAATGTAAGCAGTACAGTCACTGTGGGGTTTTTTTCATCTTGATTATGGCACGTAGTGTGGGAATTACAGCAAGTTGTTAGAAATGTGGTGTCTGACCTTTAACGGCGCTGGACTTCATGCCATCGTTTGCAGCAAGGAACGCTGCAAATGGGTGCCGTGCCGAATTCCCCCCGTTTTTAAGAGCGCTGAAGTTGTGTCCCATTTCTCTTCTCCAGAATACAATCTCCTGGCTGAGCGCAAGCCAAAACAGGCTGCTTCAAAAACTCAATATGGCAAAATAATAGAAGGAAAAATCAGAACTAACGTGCATTGTACTCATGCAAATTACAGGACTGCTGCGAAGGAAGGTCCAACTTTCTTTTCAACCCCCTGGGAATTTTATAACTGATTTCAATAGAAAAAGGTCACACCAGAAGTCACCTTTCTGAGGGCAACTCATGTTATTTATAAAATATGCAGATTATGTTCTCCTTGGTAAAAAGAGTTCCTAATGACAGTGAAAAAATGTTAACAGTCTACAGTCTTATAAAGATGATTTTCTTATATTTTAGAAAAATACTTGGAAATAATTGCTTGGTATTAATTTTGTGACATAAATATAAAAAAAAGCATACAGGCCAGATTCTGGTTTGAATTATGTTACTATAAATTGAAAGTGACTTCACTGAGCTCGTTAGAAGCTGCTCCAGAATTACGCTGCTGCACTGAAGATAACCTGATCCCGTCTCTTGCTGGGCTTTTTAGTCCAAAATTAGAAGTGTTTTTCAACAAGTCAGATTTTATATAAAAACATCTTTACAATTTACATTTCCCGTGCCATAAAATTAATTCCAATACTTAGAGATGCCCATTAACGACAAGTATTGCATTGAAGGCAAACATTTCCTATAGGAAAACCAAGTTATTTGTGAGTCCCAGGGATGACCTGTGAAGTCAACTTTGTAAATTCCTTCCAGGATTTATGACAATTTACCTGAAGTGAAAAAGAAACAAGAAGAAAAACAGAAACGGATCATCATCCAGAGTAACCGACTACGTGTTGAGATGTTTAAAAAGGTAAGGATTTAGTGTGAATGTTGACTACGGGGTTGGAACACTTCTTTACCTGTGGAAGGGGTCCGCAGAGGCAGCACCTGCCTGGAGAGTCCATGCTAACCATGTGCAAAACCCCAGAGCAAAGGATACTTTTTAAACCTTGTACTTGGGGTTAGGCACCTCTTTAAACCTGAATTAACAGCTGAACCTTGTGTTGGAATAAGCACCCAAGACATTTTTTTTTTTTAGATGAGTAATTAGTTAGTTGTGGTAGAAAGCTGCATTAGCGCAGTTATCCTGGTGCAGGTCCGAGGCATTCCCCACTAATCCTGCTCCACGCTGCACACAAGTACCGGGTTTTCCTTGTCGAAGTGCACCGTCCCTCCATGTAATTATACCCTTCCTGTCCAAGGTGGAAAAGCTTTCAGAGGTTTGTTTTTTTTTGAGCAACGTGGCCAGCAGATTTGAGGTCCGAGAACGCTAATCCCACCTCACCTACAGTATCACGGAAGATCTCTACAGTTATGGCCACCTCATGTATTTGAACGGTATCTTAAGGCTGTTTTGCATTGTTTTTTTCCTAGCAATTACTGGACCAGCTCCTTCAAAGAAACACAGAGTGACAAAGGATTCTCTTGCCCATCATCCTAATTGGATCTTGAATGCCTTTGACTGCTAGATAAGCCATAAAATTTAGTGTTATCTCAATTACCTGGAGGTGTTTTTATTATCTTTGGCTCTTTAATAAAGAAAGATCATTTATATTTCAATTTTATTTTTAAGGCAACTTTCACATAATCAAAAACAGTCTAAAAGGGAACACAGCTGTTTCAGAGCATCACCTTTTGGTCAGTTTACCCAGAGGAAATAATTTTAAGAATTTTTAGTGCAAATACTGAATTACAGTGGTATTATTTATCTTGATCTTTTAAAAAGTATATGTCTCTGTAGCCATAGAACTGGGTTCATAAGATCTGGAAAACTTATGTCTCTGATGTATTCTATTAATTGATTTCCTGTGAGTGAACTCCTCGAAGTAAAGAAAAATTAATATCATTATTCATTATGTTTAGAAACTAGCTGAAATAGCATTACCACATAATCATAGCAGCAGCAGTTTCACATTAATACTTAAGATACCAAAAGGGACCAATATTTTATCTCTCTGAAGAACTCTATTCCTGTTTATAAAATGAATCTACATAGCAAGCTTACCTGTTAAAGACCAATATTTAAAAATTCGATTATAACACTGTTTTTTATGTTTTTCAGTGTAATATACATTTTACTCCACTTCTGTGGCCATAAAGTATTCATAGAAATGGCATGTTAAGAAGTGGTGCCAAGAAGTATGTTTGCATCAAAACTGCAGAACTAAAACCATCTGTAACGTTTCCTCCAAAAGTATTTAAACCTTTATTTGTACATTTTGGAAGTAAAAACAACCAGCTTACAAACCAATGGAGTTTATTTATGGAATAAAATATGAATATAATATTGATCCAACAGCTATGGTTTTACTCGGTACTGTTAAATATAACACAGTTATTAAAACGGGTTGAGAAGTCATGCCTTTGTATGCCACAAATCCTACGGTAAAAAATATTGCCCATAAAAATCATTGCAAGTGTTAACCTCTGTTGCACAAACACTCAACTGAGTGTGCTTAAAGGAGGCTGGAATTTGGCCTATGATATCTATGCTTTATTTTTCTAATCTAGCCTGAGATGTAAGGTCAGGATTTTTGGAAGAGGGATGTTTGTGAGCTGGGCTTTGGCCACTGAGATAGCCTCCAGCTGTGTGACCTGTGCTGGACACAAGGAACCTCGTTGTCTTTTGTGCTCCGTCTCTGTTAGATTATTTTGCCTCTGTGTGTTTCAGCTTCCCAGTTTGTAAAGTAGGATTGACGATGTTAATTTTTGCTCACAGAGAAGGCAGAGATTTATTGAACAACAACTACATTGCGTTCCAGATAGGTATTAACTCGTCAGTTAGTTCAATACATTTTCAGAGGGCGTGCACGGTAAGGCAATGCTGGCTGCAAGGAAGAAACTGCCAGGGTTTTTCCCCCAAAAAAGTATTTTTAACCAAGCAGGTAGTGCTGTACTGGGAACTGAAGTTAGCGCTGGACCACACATAGCTCCAAGTAGAACTTGTAAAAGGGACTGCAAGAAGGAGCATCCTCCAAGCTTCGCAGCTCAGCGGCGTGGTAGATCGGCTCTCCTGTGGGTTCATTGATCCCACTTGCTGCTCTCCAGGAAAAACATGTGGCCTGCCTCAAACAGGAGGGCCTTTCTCTCTCTGGTGGACTTCTGGGTCTCCACCACAGAGTGATAAATTATAGCCATAAACACACCCACACACATGGTCTCCTAGGCTGAATCTGAAGGATTATCTTTCAAGCTTTCTTCCAGTTACAGCTCACTACAACAACTAGAGGCATTTCCTATAGAAGTCAGTGCCAAACTCCCCTTTGATTTCAGTAGGAGCCTAGCATTTTTCCCCCTTGGTTCCTTAGCCTCTAGTGTCTTGACTTCAGAGAAACGCATCTTTGGTTCATCAAGTTTGTATCCTTCAGGAGAAATATTTCCTGCACACATCCATAGAGAAACACTATATACATTTAATCCTGCTTTACTGTGTACACTTCAGCCTATTTGTAGTCTTACCCTACAGCCACAGCAAGACATTTCGGTACGGAGACAAGACATTTGATATTTGATATCCATGGGGATCTGGATGGATTGCAGAGGAGCACACAGCGAGATAGTCACAGCCTGGGTCAGGGATGTCCTTGGTGTGGGACTTGACACCTAGTGCCACCAGCAGAAGAGAGCCCCAAAACTTTTTGCACTTCTTCTCCGGCAGAGCAGAAGAGCCAGAGCCTTCCTTGTTGGGAGTGAAAGAGTATTTCACATTGAAATCAGTCGTTTGTCCTGCAGGATGCCCAGGAACTAAAGGGAGATGGCTTAATTGAACTTCCAAGATACATCCTGCCTCCATGCCCATACAATTTCATATGCATATGTAAATACATGTAAATATATATATATGCATATTTGACATGATTCTCACTGTCTGGCTGGGAATATCAAACAGAGGAGCTAATCTTCCTTAGAAATCACTACACCCAGGTCCTCGTGAGGAATTGAACCACGTGAGCAACTGGGATGAACGGCACAGGGTTGCTGTGACATGGCTCAGCCTGGTTTCTTCCTCTTGGCACCCCTGTCGGGATGCTGACCAGGGCAGGATGTTTCTCAGCTGACCCGGTTTCCTCTCGTTTCTGCTGATCATCCTCGGACACAAGGTACCACACCAGCCTGCTGCTTCTTCACCTTCCCTGGCTCGTGAGGAACTCCACTTTCTCACAGACTTAAAGCGGGTGCACTATTCACAAAATCTTTTGGGTTTGTAGAACGGTTATTTCCAAATGTTTTTGTTTTCTCTAAATGTAATTTTCAAAATCTGCAGGACAAATATATGACAATTTGAGGGGGAAATACTCTTGTATAAATAAGCTTGGGAGTATACCTAGTGAGAAAAATGCCTAATGTAAATCACTGTCTGGGAATGTTTTATATGATATGAAACCTTTGCTTCAGAAATCAAAAAATGACCTCTGTTGCAAACATAATTTCTCTTGCTCAGCCTCAGAAAAGAAGGTGTCTGGTAATGTACCCAGCAAACAATTCTGACATTCATTTCAACTCTACAATCCAGTCATTGTAATTGAAAATAGACTGTACAGGAAAATGTTACTTCAGAAAAACATGAGCCTCACAGGCTTAGCCCTATACAAGCAGGCATCAACTTAATGAAGTTTAGAGTTAGGAAAAAAATTGGCATCTTTTCACTTTGGGCTTGCAGGCATTTCAAAGTAAAGAGCACATTTGCCATCGGATAATACTCGATACAAGAAACTCCCCAGCCTAAACTGGAGATCACCCACACTTGTCAAACACTGGAATTTTCCTTCTTGTTGGATGCTGCTAGAGTTCAGGTTCTCTGGCTGTCAGCCCATGCCCTGTATCTTCAGGAAGGATGCATTTTCCTGCTGGTACAACTCTACAAGGTTTAACATCTCTGGTAATAGGCACTGCCATTTGTTTCCCGTTGCCCTCTGTGGGTCATGTCTTTTCACACTGCTGATTTGTACATGCCCACAGAACACCATTTAATAACAAATGTTGGTTGAGGTGAGATGTTGAGATGGTTTGGGGGCATTGAGACACAGAGCCTGTGTAGGCTTGCCAACACTTTGACTTGATGTTCTCCATCCAAAAGAGAAAGCCTCTCAATAGGCTTGACATTTTGTGCTACTCAAAATGGAGCCCACACGGGGAACGCACAATGTTTTAGGTGTGCAAGACATGGTGTTTGCTTCCTTGCTGGCATCATTAATTTCATCTGATGGAAATACTTCATTAAGGGTTGAAAGTCATTGCAACGTAAAGCACTGAGGGTTACAGTATTCTGGGGATTTATCTTTAACCCAAATATTTTCCTGTGTATGTGTATGCAAGCCATTAGTTACTTCTTCAAGTTTACTCAGCTGGTCAGGTAGATGAGGACACTCTCTGGGTAAGACTTTAGGAGTTTTATTGTTGAGTATCTGGGACTGGTCATGTTAGTGTAATGTTTTCTGTGAGAGAGCTGATTTACAAGGAAAACAACACAGAAAAATGGGGATAAAGTTTCTGGCAGCTTTCTCCAGAGGAAATCATTCCCCGATACATCCACCGCAGTAACAGCTCCATGGCTAAAAATACCGCAGCTCTCCTCGTCCGTGGAGATGTTTGCCCCTTTGACTTCAGGGACAAAAATGTCTGTGTGCTTTGAGGGGTGGGTAATTATCTTGCCAGGAGCATTGACTGGCCACTTGTTCACTGACGGAGTAGATCAGTACGCAGGGTTGTCTCACAGGGTCATATTTCATCAAGCACCATGACTTCAGCCTGTGTGGTTTATTACTCAGTATGCTTCTTGCTGAGCTGGGTTATGAGCAGCTGGATGCCTGTGAGATGCCCTCACTGTGCTCCCCCACGGTCGTGACCACAGGTCAGCACCAGGCGGGTTGAAAAGTCCCACCCCAGCTGAGACCATTCCCAATCTGCAGTCTGCTGAAGAAAAGGTGATTAGAAAGCAGTGGCACAAATTAAATGCAAGAAGGACACCTGAGCGTAAAACCAGATTAGGAGAAAAGAGGATACTGAAAATCCTTCAAACATACTGCAGGTAATAAATCTCAATCTATGTATGAAAATATTCATTAGGCTCTGATCTAAATATGCATCTGCTGAAATCACTATCACAAAAATTCGTGCCCAAAACTGTTATTCAGAGAGAGGAGCCCATCTTTCTCATCGAGTGGTGCTACTCTGCCTATTGATAACGGCGTAGTAGCATGCTGGGCTTTGGAAGTGAAGCTTGTTTTCCAGCTGAACCACCCGGAGGTATTTTGGGGGGTTATGATATCCTCTCTCGCAATGTGTGTTTAGCTACGACAAAACTGTTGAAAGAAGGATGCCATGTGAAAATACATTTCTATGCTGAAAATACAGAGCATCCTCTTTTTTAAGTCAGGCGTCTTTTCCTAGTTCTCCGTGGCTCCGTACCAAAGCTTCAGGAGGCAGAATTACTTAATATCCATTTTAGATGACCCACAGAATAAGATAACGAGGTGTATCATCTCTCTACCAGCTTCAGAGTGATTAAAAAAAAGAGGAAAAACTGCACAAATCTGCTCATGGTACACACAATTATATAAAATTAGTAAATAGGAAAAATGCAATGAACTGCTTGAGGCTGGTGTTGCTTGGATAGGAATATGTAAAAGAGTTCCTAATTGCAGAGATTTATTTATTTTTAGAAACTGATCACAGTGATGTATTTTTAGACTTCATGTTTATATTCTACAGTACCTCACAATGACTAGACTTTAGTTAGCGTATAGTTATGGGAAGATCCTTGTGCAAACACTTACTACGTGTAGGCTGCTCTGTAGTTCCAGAGTTACTGTAGCTCTGCAAATGGCTTGAGAAATTGTCAGCAGAAAATGGCAAAGACCCTCTGAAACCATTTTAGCTTCATCTTCTCACTTGGGCCATGTGTTAAGACACCATCTAATGTGCTCTTGCACCTCTTGAAGTTGTGCTTGAAGAAGGGGGAGACTTCCATTTTTATTTCATATTTCTCTGCTCTTTTAGAACTTTTTGTTCCCTAAAGTAAGTGAGCACTGATTATCCCCTTCTGGGATGATGTGGGGAAAGTTAAGAAAGTTCGTGACCAAAGGGTGGTCATGGGAATGGTGTCCAGTTGGAACTTGGACTGATCAGGAGATTACCTGATATTGGTGTCTGAAAGGAAGGTCGCCCAGCAATCATTTTAATGAATTGTAACATATAAATGTGGCCAGGGAATTTAAAAAAAAAAAGCCCAACATATTCAGGACAGAAGTCTGTTTTCATAACTGGGATGTCCTCTGAAAC